GGGGGGGGGGGGCTCTGATAAGCCAACTCTACGACAGGTCTGCTAAAGTCTCCACGTCCACCGAGCCCTTGCCGGACTGCCAATCCCGGCATCCTCATCAGAGCTCCACGCACCCGGCGGCGCAGACAGTTCACCACGGAGCGCCGCTACTAGTCCTGCTTGAGCAAGGTGGGGATACCCTCGACTTAATACGCATACTATAATCAATGTCGATTCAGTAAAAATAAATCGATAGGAAAAAAAGTCATTTTTTGGCACAAACGAGTAGTTTTCTTTTTAAATGAAATTATTGTTTTTTACGACTTTTGATTCGACCTCTTATATTGACGAATCGTTTCTGACTAGGCCACACAGGTTCGTATCGATTACGTATCTTTCTATATGCAATACGTAATCGTTCTTGAAGGATAGAGCAGCAGCAGCGTTGCAGAAAATGCAGCACGATTTAATATTTGGACCGCTCCAATGCATTTGATCACAATGACGATGGCACCCTTACGTCAATGTGATGTCTATTAATTGATATACGGCGATAATATTCGTTACGAAACCAGACGACCAATGAGTTCACGGAAACACAGATAGTCCTCCACGGCTCTGACACCGTTGACGTGCAGAAACCACTCCAAGCGATGCCGGTGCGATAACGGCCACTTTTGTATCGCAGGGAATACCGTTTGACGGCCGCGGTATATAGCTCTTTGACATATCGCGTTGGGTGGGGCTTTTCTCAACATTTTAGAACAAGTAGCTCAGAAGGTTTTCTCGCTCTTTCCGCCAGCCAGACGTCCCATAGCAACTCGTGTCGAGGCAGTGACACCATGGCCCGTCTGCTGGCCATGCTGGCCGTAGGGCTGGTGGGCCTGGCGGCCGCCGCCCCGCGGCTGGCTGGAACCCCGGCCGCGAGCGTCCTCCAGGACGAGGAGCGCCCTCTGGGGCTGCCCGCCGGCCTCCGCAGCGACCTGCCCCCGCTCTACAAGCGGCGCGTCTCCAAGCCCGCCGCCGGCCTCACGACGCGGGTGACGGCCGACCCGGACCCGTATCGCCTGCCCAGGAACATCGTGCCGCTCCACTACAACGTGAGTGTCTCCCCTGCGGACGTCCCCCAGGACGCGGCCGACGACAGACAAACTTCAACCCGCCCGCACCACTGCCACAGCTGTTCCTGGTGGTCGACTTCAAGCTCACCAAGTTCGAGGGCCAGGTGGACATCCGCGTCAAGGTGCTCGAGGACACGGACACCATCGTCCTGCACGCGGCCAGCAACCTGGGCGGTCTCGACAAGTTCTCCATCGGCGTGAGGCCGTACAAGGACGCGGACACCACCAAGTACACCGTCACGGATGTGACGCCCAACGCCATGTACCAGACCCTCACCATCAGCCTGGACAAAACGCTGAAGGCAGGCCAGCAATACCTCATCAGCTTTTCAAAGTTCAACTCGATGCTCACCTCTGAAGGGTCACTCTATGGCTTCTACGTCTCCACCTACGAGGAGAAGGGTGAGACCAAGTACGTGACAGGTAGGGCGCGGACTCCCTCCCATACCCAAGTGTTTTGGGGGTTGATCTCGAAATATTCGATTTTCATAAGCAAACTTTGGGCCAAATACAATTATTTTTCAAGATAAATACGAGCCATTAACGCGAGACTTGTACCAGGCGGCTGGCGACGACGCAGTTCGAGTCGACGCACGCCCGCGAGGCCTTCCCCTGCTTCGACGAGCCGAGCTTCAAGGCGCGCTTTAAGATCGTGATCGGCCACGACAGCAAGCTCAAGGCGCGCTCCAACATGCCCGGGGTCACCCAGAGCACTGAGGACCCCGCGGAGTGAGTATATACGCGTTCAGGAGAAGTCTAATTTAGGCTGTAAAACACATCATTTGGGCTTGTGTTTTGACGATAGCGGCCATTTAAAAAAAATAAAAAATTGACGTGTTTTATCGTGATGTGCGGTTTAGCAACCCGACCGACGATGACCCGAATTCAACCCCGACCCCGACCTCGACCCCGGACCCGAATTCAACCCCGACTCCGACCCCAAGCCCGACCCCGACCCCGGTGGCGGCCGTGACGACCTTCGACGTGACGGTGCCGATGCCGACTTACCTGCTGGCCTGGGTCGTGTCGGACTTCGAGAAGCTGTCCAACGCGGACGAGACCTTCAACACCTGGGCGAGGAGGGACATCGTGGCCGGCGGGGAGCTGAGCCAGCGCACGGGGCAGAAGGCGCTGGAGCTGCTGGGCGAGTACACGGGCATCCCCTACGCGCTGCCCAAGACGGACCAGTTCGCCATCCCAGACTTCGCCGCGGGCGCCATGGAGAATTGGGGGCTCGTCACCTACAGGTGAGGAACGACCATGGAAACGATATATTTTGTCGTTTCGATAATCGTCTCGATAATCGTCTCGCTAATCGTCTCGATAATCGTTTCGATCATCGTTTCGATCATCGGTTCGACATCGTGCGTTGACACCCTCTCTCCCGCCTGTCCTGCGCAGGGAGGCTTACCTCATCAGCATGCCCTGGCTGCTCGACGTGCGCTACGAGCAGCAGATCCAGGCCGTCATCTGTCACGAGCTCGGCCACCAGTGGACCGGCAACCTGGTGACCATGGACTGGTGGTCCAACACGTGGCTGAACGAGGGCTTCGCGACCTTCTTCGAGAACTTCATCTGCGACAAGGTGAGGAGGGCTCGCAAGGGCCGCGTGCCACCGCCACACCAAAGGCTGAAAGCAAAATGCGTAACGACATGCCGTAAAAAAAAACAGTTAGCCGTAAAACACTTTTACAAATTAGAGTGAACAATGAAACTTGACGCTCTTGGCCTTTTGTGAGGGCAGATCAACCCGGACCTCAAGCTGCTGGACAAGATGCTGCCCGAATACACGCACGAGGCCATGGCCAGCGATCTGATGGCGGGCCAGCACGCCATGAGCAGCGCCGTGTCGACCTACACCGAGATCGAGTCCAAGTTCGACGACATCTCCTACGCCAAGGGCGGCTCCGTGCTGCGCATGTTCCAGCTGATCCTCTCCCCGGAGGTGTTCCGGCAGGGCCTCAAGAACTACCTGACCGCCAAGTGAGTGCAGTGAGTGCTCGGCCGACCCACCGAGGGGTCCGTCACCAAAATAAAATAAGGAAAAAAAACGAGAAAAATAATTTAAAAACAAAACAAAAGCAGGAGAACAAATCAGAAAAAAAATGGGAAGAGATCAGAAAAAATCGGAAAAACGGAAAAATCACGATAAAATCTTGTGCGGTAGTAAAGGACCCCTCGGCTAAACGCACGCGGTGCACAGCTCGTTCCAGAACGGCGACCCCGACAAGCTGTTCCGCGGGATGGCCGCCGCCGTCGCCAACGACGCCACCAACACGGAGCCCAAGGTCAACCTCCCGGCGGGCTACACCTTCGAGGCGGTCGCCAAGTCGTGGACGGAGCAGGCCGGCGTGCCGCTGGTCCGCGTGGTGCGGGACTACGCCAACAAGAAGGTGACCCTGACGCAGGAGCAGCTGCTGCCGGACAACAAGCGCGGCGACACCAAGTGGTTCATCCCCGTCACTGTGGCGACCCCCGCGTCCACGCCGGCGACCGTGGACGACGCGAAGGTCGTGGCCTGGCTCACCCCGAGCAACCCCAGCGTGACCATCGACGTGGACGCCTCGCAGGACGACTGGGTCGTCGTCAACCCCGGCCACGCTTCGTACTACCGCGTGCTCTACGAGGAGGGCAACCAGGAGCAGCTCATTACCGCCATCGTCAACGGCAAGGCCGCCATCCCGGCCCCGGTGCGCAGCCAGCTCATCAACGACGTCCTCACCATGGCCAAAACCGGCCGCCTGACCTGGGACCACCCGCTCAAAGTGCTCGACGTCCTGGCCAAGGAGACGGAGGCCTCGGTGTGGATCACGGGCAAGAACTCCATCAAGGTCCTGCAGGACTACCTCGCAAACACGGACGTGCACCCGTCCTTCCTGGTAAGCACGTTACAGTATGGCGTGTCCCAAACATCATTTGATATAGAGAGAAATCAGAGCAGCAACGAAAAAAAAACAAAAAACAAGAACCTTTTCCTTAAACGAAATTGTCCTTTGATTTTCAGATTCTGCTGAACAAGCTCACAACGGAGGCGTTCAGCAAGCTGGGTCTCGCGGTCAAGGACACCGACAGCTTCGACGCCCGCCACGCCCGCTTCTACATGGCGCCCTACGCCTGCCAGAGCGGCAACCCCGCCTGCCTCAAGGAGGCCAACGACATGCTGGTCAAGTGGCTCGCCGACCGAGAGAACGTCAAGTAAGACACACGCGGTCATTCAAAAAATTTGCGTCAATTTCTTTCCCTAGGGTTGTGGGGGGTGGGGGTGCCTCAGCAAGAAGCGCTTCACTAAAATAACGCCCCACGCCACCCCCAAAAGAATCAGAGATATATAAGAAAACAACAGAAAAATCCATTTCTAAAAGTCAGAAAAGAAGGAGAAAAACAGAAAACTTTACCATTTGCTCTCTCTCCAGGCTCCACCCGGACACGGCCGCACCAGTGCGCTGCTACGGCCTCCGGGCCGGCGACGCCGCCCTCTTCCAGCAGGTCAAGGAGCTCTGGGCCGCGGCCCCGGACAAGGAGCTCAAGGCGGCCTACGCCAACATGCTACTCTGCTCCGCCGACAAGAGCCGCGTGAGAGGGTAAGGATGCCGTCCATGCCTCGTCCTAGCGAAGCTCCTTCGCTTTTTCACTAGAGATTTTAATTTTCTTGAATAGTATTCTAGGGAAATTTTCAGACTTTTTCAAAAAACAAAAGTTTGATCTTTCCTCGAAAAAGTTTATTTTTTTCAAACTTTTTGGGAAAAGTTTCAATTTTTCATTTTTTTTTTCAATTTTTATCTGGAGAAATTTCAGACTTACAAAATCCCTGTTGACGACTTTCTCTCACAAACCCGTTTCCGCACCCCAAAAGCCTCATCGGTGACGTCCTCAAGGACAAGGTCGCGAACATCACCGACTTCTTCAACGACCTCTCCGAACGGGTCGAGCACCACCGGCTGATGCTGGAGTACATCCAGAGCAACTGGAAGGAGATGGACGCACAGTAAGTGGGGTTGGGGGGATGGGGGTGATTGCTGTACGAAAGAGGCCGGACTGTGCACTTGATACGGCCGCTCGGTGCCCGCAGGTTCGGCGACTCGGGCTCCATCAGACCCGACTCTCCCGACCCTACCAAGCTCGGCGGCATCCTCATCGACTGGATCGACAAGATTCGAACCGACGCGGAATTCAACGAGGTCCGTATCGACGGCATTTTTTTGCGGAGGTTTTATTTCGTGTTATATTTTTTGGTACACGATTGCATTTTTGTTTTCCTTTCACGCCGCCCACAGGTCAAGGATTGGGTATCGAAAACGTTCGCTAACAGAGCCGACATGAAGCATCTCAACAAAGCCCTGCAGGAGGCCGACGCGAAGCTCGACTGGTACCGCAAGCACTACTCCGCGGCGTCCAGCTACATCTACACGGCCACCAACACCAAGCCGCCGACCACCACAGTGCCGCCGTCGCCGACGGGTCCCACACTGCCTCCCACGCCGCCCGGTCCGCCGACCGGCAACCCACCGACGAGCGGGCCCAACCCGGGCCCCGGGCCCAACCCCCCGGCGACCACCGTCAAGCCCTCGGGCGCGGCCGCCGCGGCCACGTCGGCGACGCTTATAGCGTGCGCCGCGATCCTGGCCGCCGCCCTGGCCCGCCCGTGAGTGAGCCGAGGCCGCGACGTCACCGGCGAGAGACGGTATTGGAGATATTAAAACTTGCGACTGCCTGCTCCGTGTGTGATACTCTCTGATCAGCTAGGAGCCGGCCCCCGGTGGTGACTCGAGCGCACAGGCCGATCGCCAAGAGCTTACCCCCCCCCCCCGACCCATATGCAGGAGGGCTATGCGCGTCCTCCAGTGCTGTATGAACCGACTGGACACAATGACTCCTCAGCTCATGAGGGGTAACAGAGTGGAAAATGTGTGCTTTGTTGCCGGGGACCAAGAGGAGAGCGAGAGAGCGAGAGAGAGTGAGAGAGAGAGAGAG